ACCACAAACGGTGTAACCCAATTTAAAGTGATAAATTCTTACTGAATTTTTTTTTTTTTTTTTTAAATTAATTGTCACCTGATAGTACCTCTGGTACATACAGTTCCTTTCTCCTTCTGCTTAACAGAACAGCAGCCATTAATACGTTTTCTTCCTTCTTAAATATCTTTTCTTTCAATTTCAGTGAACTACTGTTATCTTTGAGAAACTAAAAGCTACCAAACACTTTAGAAAGATAAATCTGTCTAAAACTGTGTGAATTTATGACATTTACTTTGATCTCACTACATATTTTTCTGGGTATCTGATTGCAGCCCTTCTATAGTAAGTGTCACCTTGAACTTGTAGTCTTAGAAAGTGAACACATGAACCTAAAAGGAGCAAAAGATGTTCACCAGCCATACCTGTGTGAAACACCCGAAGCAAGATTCTCAGAGTCAAAAAATGTGTTTGAATGAAGAGTCTTCTACCTTGCAGCAGCACTGGTTTAGCAGTGAATGGGATAAACAGGAACACACAGGAAAAGTTGGATTTTAGATCAGGATTCTTTACTCAAAGGCAAAATAAGATAGTTTATTTAACTTTAAAATTTTCTCATTATAAATAGAATAAATCTTGTCACCTAATACTACTTGTAAAACACAGCAGTTATAAATACATTCCTGCTTTCACCAGCAAAACCAGTGTGAGATGGTATTTCATCAAGGTTGAATACCCCTGAAAAATTTTGAAGAGAAAATCTATTGTGGCTAGTATGACTTTTGATACTTAGCATTATAGTCTTCTCTTTAGTAAGATGAGAGGAAGCTTGGCTTTCTCATCATGTCAAGTCCCAAGGTTCAGAGACTTTTTAACACTTCAGTACTTTAGTCTTGTCCCAGTGCTGCTCCTTACTCTTAGAAACATTTCATTCCCTAAGCCACCTGTTTTACAATCCAAACTATAAGGAGAGTTTCACTGTCCAGAAGAGATAAGTTAATAAAATGTCTTTTCACTAACAGTGAATTTGTCAACATCTATTTTAAACAAGTAGAAATAGTAAAGGTCTTTTCAGTGGATTTCTAAGTACACTGAAGTCTTCCATCTAGCCAAGATGGCCAACATTGTCCAACATCAGTACCCAAGCCTTGCAAGGATGTCACACAACAGCAAAAGAATTAATTCATCTCATACTCAATCAGTCTCTATTGAAATTGCCAATATGAAACCAAATAATGTGTTTTGTCTTTTTTATGTATGTGCAACTATGATTTTTTACTCAAGAAACAAATTCCCATCTTCTTTCTCTTGATCCAGCAAATAAAAATAGTTGCATAATGCGTATTTGTTTTCACTTCCCATTACATGAGAGTAAGTAATGCAGAAATGTAAAGTTCTGTATCACATTATGGATACGAAACTCACAACCATCAGTCAGCCTCTCCTGTTATATGTGTCTAAGAAACTAGCATGAAAAAGTTGGATTCGTTTCTGCTATCATCACTTTCATACTGTTCTTTCCTCATTTTGCCCCATTGGGGTTTGGGGTTTTGTACTCTTCAGTTTCACCTTACTCAGTCTAAACCAGCCTAGGAATAAATGCAACTAAAATGAGAAAAGGAGCCAGATTTCAGGGGAATAAGTCTAATTTACATTATGTGTTGCTCTGAAGTGAAGTACACTGGCTGGAATTTTCAAGCAACTGCAAGAAATGTGAAGTAAGCTTTATTGTTCTTGTTGTCTAATCAATTTCCTTCATTGTCAGAAAATCCAGCAGGAGAACACTGATATAAATTTTATAAATAGCAGCTCCCTTGCCACATATACTCACACTGCTCTAAAATACTAGGAAAACATTCTTGTCAACTCACCAGGTGGGGGTCTGAAAGTATTAAGACTGCTTAAGAGACTAAGCAATGCCTGTACTTCAGCTTGCTGTCAGCTAGTGTGTTTAATGCATAAAAAAAAATAGCTAGCACCATTAGTTAAGTGCAAGGACTAGTTACAATATAAAAAATAGATTAACAGCCTCTACCACCACCTCAGCATGGTGTTTAATGGCTGCTTGAAGGTGCCATATAATCTTTTGGATGCCTTAATCATTTCTTTCTTCATAGTTCAAACAAGAAGAGTGGTTATTAACCCTGGTGTTCTCACAGCATTTTCAGAGTAGAACTTCACTGAATAAGAAGTGCCACTTAGATTACAAGAATAAGATCTAAGGTTTATACAGCACTTGTTGTTGGAAAGTTAAACAGAAAGGAGTGTGCTGACCCATATAGTCTTACAAGATTATGTTTGAGGAGCAGGAAATTCTTCAATCTTGAACAAGCTGAAATCTCAAATCCCAAACTGCTAAACAAAAAGCAAATACAAGTGGACAATGTTGCTGACAAGGTAGTTCTCTTTCCAGTCATCATTTCATTTCAGTATAATTATTCATTTTAATTACTTTTTAAGGGTCTGATTTTCTAAACAGCATTGGTTTTAGTTAGCAGAGGAATAAGGAATAAGGAATAAGGAGTAAGTAGAAGTAACTGGTGGAAAATATGTATAAGATTTCTTGAATATGTCACTTGCCCAAATGGGTAGAAACTGAAGGTTGTCACCATCTGATGTTTGTTCATTGGTCTGTGTAAAATGAAGTGGTGACCTGAGTCCCATAGGATTTGGAGAGCACTTGCAGCACAGAAGGCAATAATTAACATCATTGCTGACAGTCTCTATAACTACGCCAAGCATTGAATAGAGACGAAAGCATAATTTACCTTCTTATCCTCAAAGGTTTTGTTCCTTCATGTCAGAGTTCAATCAGACTGGTGGAGCAGCCAAAGAAAATTTGTTTTATCTGGTGCCCACACTATGCTTGTTCTTTGCAACAAAGCGGACATTTCAGTTTCTAGAGCCAGCAAATCAAGCAGTGTGTACAAACATAATCCCTTCCAAATAAAATTGAAATCCAACTTAGATAACACCAACAGAAAAAAATCGACACTTATAAAGGAATGATAACAAGCTTTAGGCATTGACGAAAGTAGAAGTGAAGCAAAAGTCAGTATTTCTGTGGTACCCTTCTTTGTCATACCTTTAGCTGTACTAGAACTATAGCCTTAGTGAAATTTTTGTCCATGCATGAAAGTTTTCCACACCACAAAACTCAAAGTGCAGATAGTTATCAAGGACACCCACAGATCTTTCTCTAACTTATTTATTTCTGGTTGCCTAAACATTTTCTAATGAGTGTAGACTCTTTTGTAGTGAATTTAAGCCAATGATAATATGCTCTGGAAGAAAAACACTACATCACTGCAAGAAAAGTCATTCACTGGCCAGGAACAGGCTGGCAAGGTTACCATGTGGTGGATAAACGAATTTGATGACGTGTTTAATTATGCAGATTTTATGGAACAGATATGCCACTTAATGGTTGCTACAGGGAACAAGAATCAACCTACTGTGCAAAATTGTCAATGAATTTATTGGGCCTGGCAGACATAATAAATTTCATATGAAGTTTAGTTTGCCAAAACACCAAATAATTGAAGCTTAATCCTCAAAACTATAATAAAGTACTTTTTAAGTTTGTCCCATATTGCTAAGTTTACATAAAGTAGGAATAGATACACTGCCTGATTATTGACATAGCATATTTCTTATTCTAGGTTCTATCCTTAGGGGCTGATGTTCTACCAGAGTATAAACTCCAGACACCTCGCATCAACAAGTTTACTATATTGCACTATAGTCCTTTCAAAGCCGTCTGGGACTGGCTCATTTTGTTGCTGGTAATATACACAGCCATATTCACCCCCTACTCTGCTGCCTTCCTTCTGAATGATAGTGAGGAACGGAAGAGGAGAGAGTGTGGATATTCTTGCAGCCCACTGAATGTTGTAGACCTAATTGTGGATATTATGTTTATCATTGACATTCTAATAAACTTCAGAACAACATATGTAAACCAGAATGAAGAAGTGGTAAGTGATCCAGCAAAAATAGCAATTCACTACTTCAAAGGCTGGTTCCTAATTGACATGGTTGCTGCAATACCTTTTGACCTGCTGATTTTTGGCTCTGGCTCTGAAGAGGTAAGCTTAAATGAATAAGAAATTTTAAATATTAAGTTTTGACTTTACTACAATAATCTGTATATCCTAATATATTTGCTTGTCACTTAATAGGCTGTTTAGTAGTTCCATCCCATCTTTTAAAGTTAAACTAAAATTAAATTTTCCTTAGTAGAATAATGTAGAATATTAGCTTTCATTGACAGGAGAACAAGTAGAATGATTCAGCTAGTATTTTTCAATTATATCATATTTGATGCTATCTTTACAAATAATGAAATAAATGCATCATGTATGAAGGATTTGTTGAAATGCTTTTATTTAAGAACTGTTCCTTTAATTTGCTGCTTGCTTTGTAAAAACTGCTCATAATGCATGTAAGTGTTGTGCTGACATTAAAGCATTTATATAAATTTTCTCTGTTCAAAGTCTTTAGATCAGAGGTTTACTCAGTGTAAAACAGATTAGTTGCAGTGTAAACTATACCAGTTAACAAAAAGATTTGGCTGTTGTCTATTTTATCAAGAATATGGACTACCAAAAGAAAGAAAAAAGATTATATAGGGTAAACCTTGCCAGACACAACTAATGTCCTCACCCGATCTGCACAATAGGCTAAAAAAATGTTCAATATATGCATCCAAAAATTGCCCAAAGGTGTATAAAACATATGCTATGTTCTGGATGCCTGACCCAATTCTGTTTCCTGCCAAATAATTGTATTTAATTTAAGAAGGGCTAAAGTTATAACATACTTTTTTATGAAAAGCGAACTGACAAGTAGAGAATTGGGGTTTTCTGTAATGCATAGAATACAGCAGTTTAAAAAAAAAAAAAAATAGCAGCAAACCAAGCAAAATATGAACCATTCACTTTTCAAAGGACACAAATCCATTTCTTAAAATTACCATTTTGCACATATTGACATAAGGGAAACAGGCAGTTTTGTGGACCATAATTGCATCTCATTAATTGAGAAAAGAAAGGTGAAAACTACAAATTAATCAGCAACCTCTAGCGTGAAAATTTACTGATCTGACTGTATGCCTCCATGTCATGATACAGAGAATGCAAAAACATTTTCATTTGAAAATTAATTCCTTTTTATTAAAGTAATTTGCTGTGATAGCAAATATTTTTACATCCCCCACAAGACCCTGATCTGAATTCTGAGCATACCCTAGCTATCCTCACAAATTACATGAAAACATAATTAAGAGTGCCTTTAAGGGTCAGTATAAAACAACTGGCACATACCTACGTGCACCTTGAGAGTCTTGTGAATATATTCAGTCTTAAAAATTTCAGAAGTAGGATGAATATGTCATGCTTTTCTTAAACTCATTTTCTTAAATTTTATATAATGAAAAAGTTTTCCTGTCTCCTGTACTTCTGAAAAATCATTATAATAATGTGGTCTAATTCGGCAGTCATAGAAATCAATAGTAATGTTCCTAATCAATAGTGATATTCCTACTAATGTGAACATAAGAATACACACTCAAAGTAAATGAATAATCTGAAGAAACATGTAGATAATAGCATGCAGTAGAAATAAATTTTGTTAAAGGAATGCAATAAGAAGAGAGAGAGTAACAGAAAGGACAAGGGAACATGTTAATAGTTCTCTTACCAAAAGGGAACTTTTCTATTCAGAAGGTGATTAAAAAGCTGAAAGATTCAAGAGAAACTTTGATCGCCTTTTGCATTCATTATCTGTGGTAGGTCTCAGTCTTTCTGCAGATTTTTTTCTGCAGTTTTGATAGCACAGACACATGAAAGACAAACATTTTGACAATGGCATTACTTCTAATTTGGACCACATCATTCCCCTTCAGGTGTGGTCTGCATCACTTTCTGATCACTGAGCTCTCATCACTGCCAAAAATAATGCTCAGTGACTGGAAATGTGGAACATCAAAAATTACAACAGGGACCAATTCCAAAGTTCATTGAAGGAGTGCTCTTTGGATTTGACCCTGAACATCATTCTTCCACACCTCCCCTGTTACAGACGTCCTTAAGATTAAAGTGCCAGGTGCTAAAGTGTTGCTAAAGGGATAACTTTAACATAAGGTAATGTTACAGATTACTAGCACACAAGTGCATTCTGGCAGGTAAGTACACAAATACAAAAGCGTGGAACCTGGAATAGAAATTATTGGACCATGTAATGACTTTTTCAGTATTGCAGATATAAGTAAATTAATTCTTTATTGCCTCGAAACCTAGTAATTGAACAGTTTCACTATCTGGAAAAACTAGTTTGTTTACCTAAGCAGCAATGAAACCACACAGGTTATGACCAGTTCATCATGCCACCTTGACTCTCTCATTCATGGTATTGAATATGTCAATCACTTTTTCTAAGCTGCTACTTACTGCAGTTTTTCTTCCTACATTGCTAACTATATTTCCCCAATGATCCTTTTTTGATAGTTTAGCAAGAAGAAGCAAACGTAAAAATGTTAGAATGGAGCATTTTTCATTTAATAGAGTTTTTTTCAGTCATAAGGGTTACCTTTTTTAGGAAATAGTTCTTTTATGTTATCTAGAGATTCTTCAGATAAGATCCCCTACAAACAATTGTATTGAACAGTCTTTTTATTAAACAACATAAGCTCCAAAGAGAGCTCCATGTGTGCTCCCCAGCTTTAAAAAAACCTTGATATCAAACCGAGTGTAGAAAGGGCAGGAGATAATAATCCAAATACCACATGCAGCACTATCTGAATGCTTCCATTTGAGCCATACTTTGTCAACCATAGGAAAGCAACAGAGTAAGATAGTTAACTTTCCAATTTCTAAAATAGGGAACTAATATAATTTTTAAATTGTTTTTTCTGTTTAAGCAGACTCAATACAAAATTATTATGGCTAGTAGTAAACCATTCTCTTTTTTTTGTGTATTTTAAATGTTATGTGACATCCCTGATACGTGGGAAGATAAAAATAATGAGTAGATGGGCTTCTTACTTTCTGTTCTTTTGGTAGTTTATTTTTAATCATTCTGCTCAGCTGAGGAGTCTGGGTCAGATTTCAAACAAATAACAGTTGCAGTGGCACAGCTCCTTAAAGCTCACACATAGATGATGTGCATGTACAAGTGGAATGCTGGTTAAGATTACTAGATAATTTAGATATATACATTTAAAATGATGTGCTTTTTAATGTATTGATCAGCTTTCACTTCAAAGACAGGTACTTAAAAAGGGAAAAATCAGATGTATGTATAGATAACCAGAGTTTCTTCCTTTTCATCTAGAACCTACTTCAATAAAACATACAGACAAGTGATGGTAACAGCTTCAGCAAGAAAATTTTCATATTTATAGTTTTATATAAATTGAGGCCAGAGAGAACATTCAGCTGAAATATGCAGAAAACCATGAAGGCTTTTGCTTTTGCAAATTTAAATAAAAATAAATACGTCATGATGTATATATACAGCATACTCACAAAATGTAAGAGTGAATGTGTCTTCTATTCGTAGCAATACATCAAGAAAATAGATGGGTTTTGGTTAAAATGAAGACATATAAATCAAAGTACTCTTGTTCTTCTCTTAGTTTTGACATCTTCACTCCACACCATTACACAGTGTATCTGTTAAAGCAAACTGAAAAGAAGAATCCCACATTTCTAGAATTCGAGATTGAATCTAATAGTCCTGACTGGATCTCCACTGATAGAATCAGTACTTTACCTCCTTCCAAATTAAAATATATTTGAAAATCAATCTCAGAAAACATCTCAGGAAGAGATTAATGTAGTTTCCTGTGCTCAGTTCAGCAATTTACTTGGAAAAGCTATTCCAATGATTTTCAAGTCTTTTACACAGAAGACTGCATAGCTGATCATACAGGCAGTCTGCCTTTACATTAGCAGCAACTCTGTGGACTGAGTGCAGTCCAGGATGGTGCAACATTAGGGTAGAGTCTCTGGAAATTATTTAGGTGGCTGGCTAATATCAGAAGAGTATTTAGTATCACCTTTTTCTTCCCTTGATTGTTTTTCAAGATGAAGCAAAGAGGAATCCCAGCGTTGCTTGAGCAGGCAGCCATTTGTAGACCATTTTGGCAGTCCTTTATCAATGGCAGTTGAAGTACAAGTACCCTGCTATAAATAAGAAGTTTTGGTTAGTTGAAATATTTTTGTTTAATTGCTGTTTGTACTGACATTTTCAGTATCATGATGCATACAGCATAAAGATCTTCAACAATGACACAGTGCTCAGAAGAGGCTATTAAGGTAATGGAGCATAGACTGAAAGGCGAAATTCTAGCATATATTAGAGATTTTTCGAAGACAGAGAAAGAGTTGACTATCCTTGATGCTATAGTACTCATATTTAATAGATTTATTTACAGGCTGCAAAAAAGGTAGAAAGTTGATGATGGTTTTAACATAAAATGTAAGTGACAGGAAATTATTGAGAAACTGAGGACCTTACAATACCAGGAAGCTGGAAAGGACCATAGCAGATGAAATACTGTGTAAGCAAGTGCATATTAATGCACATTGGAAGAGACAGTTTGAGCTACTCATACACTTCAGTGGGTTATTTGGTTTAAAAAAGAGACAAATAAGAGATGACATTATAGATTTATACATTAATGCTAATGGATGTTATGAAGAAAGACAGAAAAACCCACAAAAATCTAGAGGAAACCTAAGGATTTGGCCATCAGTGAGAAAGTCATGAGTTGTAAATGGCTTTTTGCACAGGCAGAATACCATTTATGCAGATATTTAATTAGGTGATACCAGCTCCCTCTTCCAGTCTGATACAATAATAACTTCTGAGTGATACCCTCTGCAATCAGATAGACTGATGCCCTCCTCTTTCAAATAGTCCTGTAATCAATTGCTGTCCATCAAAATGGCCCCCTGCTGTGGTAATTTCAGCATCAGGGCTTGAGAAATCGAGGGTATAAATTAATCTCACTGTTAAAAAAGAAGACTAATCAGAGTTAAGGATACACCCTTTAATATATAAGGATTTTGTGAAATAAATTCAGTGACCTGTACTTAGAAAATGTAGTACCCATGAATTTCTGGTTTTAGAATGTAATTTTTTTCCCCAGAGAGAAAATAATTGACAAACTTTAACCTTTCTCAATCTTCTTATTAGCAGAACTGAATAATTATTCTAAAACAACTAAAGATGTCTTCTATGTGGTTTATTAGCTTATGGAGAGAGCCATGTAGGAATGAGAGAACCATTGCAGGCATGATGTATTATTTATTTTTTGTGCTATCACTAAAGTCAAAACAGGAAAAAAAAAATTAATCCACATCTCCCTCCTGTACTATAGCTAGAAAAAACAAAAGGCATTTTAAAAGGCCAAATAGCACAATAACAAAGCAAGGTAAAAATAGCAATATTACTTTGGATATACCAGTTAACAAAATGTTAGATTGTCAGATTGGAATACATAAATAGTGCCATGAAGAAATCTAAGCTGATCTTTTTTACTTTTCTCTATAATTTTGTTTATTTGTAATGAAAAAGTAAATTTGAGGAAAAAGAATGTCTGTTTTGGCAGAATCTATTTTAAATGGTATTACCTTAAGACCTTTAACTTTTTCATAAATCTTACCAATTAAAAGACTTCTTCAATGTAGGTATTTTAGATTCTGAAAGTACTTAAATATGTGCTATGGTCCTAATGAATTCTAGTTTAGGCAAACAGTTAAGCGCCTTACAGAAATGGAATGCTGGTGGCACTGAATATACTATAGTGGGGTAAAATGATCCTGTACCGATCTTCTACCAATCTGGATTCATAATTTCAGTAGCTATGAGATTCCTACGTGCTTCTGACTCACAGTAAATGTTACTACTGAGAAAAAAAAAAAAACAAACCAACCTGATGTGGGTATCCAGCAACTCTTGAACTTGTAGTCTATCTGACAAAGCTAGGTATGATGAAAACAGAGCAGCAAGCAATTCGGAGAAAAAAGTAGCATCTATCAGATTGCTATTTGCCGATGTTAACTGTTGGCACCAGAGAGGGTAAGGTGGGTAACTGACAGACTAGGCCCTCTGCCTCCTTGGGCGCCATGCTGAACAAAGTATTCCAAAACACCAGGGAAATTACATTGCACAAGGCATGGTTCTGACACCACGTAATTCTCCCCCTGGCCAAGTGACATGTGGGAGGTGGACTGTTACTGTGTGAAAGCTACACTCAGAAGTGGACCACATGTAAAGGCACACCAAAACCTATAGATCATGCTTTCCCCCCCTACTGCCAACTGTATTTTAGTGTCAAAGCCTCTCTACTGTGTTAAAGAAAATTCAAACTCAGGATGAGTTTCTTGATGGTTTAAAGCATATCTAGTCTCACGCACGCTGATTTCACACTGAAGACATGGAGTTTGCTTGTATTATACACCTCCAGCATACTCCAAAGCTCAAAGTGATGCAGTGTCTAAGCATGGTATTGACACTGAGGATGCATAATGTCAGCAAGTATTATCTTACGAATGGGGTGGAACACTGTTAACATATTTTGGATTCACCGTCTACCTTCTGATCTATTTAAGGGTCACTGTAAGAATATGTTGCCTCTTGCATGGTGTAGAAATATGACTACATTTGTAATACAATGGTTCCATCACCCCCCTAAGAACAAATGTTAGCTTTTCTTAGATTGCTCTTTTCCTTAAGGGATTATAAATATTTAAGCCTGTTCTACCCTACCAAAAAAAAAAAAAAAAAAAAAGTACCTAATGGCAATATTCACATGCTGAAGCTCAGTCTAGGCATAGCTTTTTGAAGGATATGGTCTTTCTTTCAGACTATTGAGGTCACAAGCAGTGAAACAGACTTCTTTATCTGGCAATGAGAAATTCACCCTGAAATTATTCTGTGTGATGTTAAGTTGAACCAAGGAGTGTTACCCAGTGTTACCCTACATTATCCTTTTGCTTATTTACTCAGAAAATATGAACAATATATTGAGCTGTGTACTGACAAATACAACCAAGAAAGCATCTTTTTTTGTTCCAAGGGCTTTGGGATTTTACTCAGAAACATGGTAAATGCAAGGATTTAATAAAACATAAAAGCTAGTCTAGTACTTCTTGAAAGAAAGCTTTAACATGACACATACTACCATCAGAGTAGTTTGTAGGGCTCAGAAAACCTTTCCAATTAAGTCTTATGTAACATACAGGCAGGTTAAGAAAAGGAAGAAAAAAATTATTAAAAACTTATTCAGTTTTTACATTTACTGAATACTTTAATATATGTTCAGACTTAACAGAGGGGAAAAGGTAGCTGAGTTATTTCTGAAATCAAGTAGTTACTATTTACAATGTTGTCAATCTTTTACAAGGAATTAACAAGTAAGAAAATTATTTACTGATTGAAAATTGTAAATTTACATTAATTAACTTTAGATTCCTTTAAAAAGATCAGAGCCTCAAAGAGGCTGCAATGAATCATAGTGCTGGTCTGCACTAAAAAGCTTGGAATATATTCCTGGTTTGTAACTGACCCATTCTTTTTTAATGGTATAATACTTCTATTAGTGTCTTCTACCACTACACCAGCAAGGATGGTATACTACACTTCCAGGATGGAGGATGTGAAAAGAGGATTAATCTGGAGTCTGGCAACAGTAACTTTTCCATGATTTTCTATTCACAGTGGTTCATCTTCTTTTACCTGTATAGAGTGTTCTGACTATTACAAACAGGAAGAATATTTTCAGAATAAGATACTTACTCTTTGGGAAATTTCTGCCCTATTCCTTCTCTCTTCTAGAACATGTATGCCAGAGCATTGCAAGGAGTCTCTAAGTTAGGATCAAATATAGTTACCTAGCTTTGTTCAAACATCATAAATACTTACTTACAAGGCTAGTCATATAATTATGAGTAGTTCCAATAACTTACAGACATTAGCATGCTAAAACATCATTAATCTAATGGATCATTTAGTCCATTAGGGTGGATTGAAGAGTCCAGATCAAGAATAATATTCAAAATGAAAGAGTACTCAGCAGATAATGACAAGTTCAATATATCTTAATTTAAAATGTGCATTTCTTATTGTTTTATTCACTGTTTTTAAAATTAATTTGATAGTTTAAAGAAAATGAAATTAAGATTACATTGAAATGGGTTAATCTACTGGTTTTGTTAATTTCCCCAACTAATGGAATTTGCTCTGGTTTATTCATGCTGACTATTCATGAAAGTACATTTGCTAACAGAGAAAATCAATTTCTATTTATATCTTATTTTTACAGACAACAACATTAATAGGTCTTCTGAAGACAGCTAGACTGCTGCGTTTGGTGAGGGTAGCACGGAAATTGGACAGATATTCAGAATATGGTGCTGCAGTTCTGATGCTCCTTATGTGCATATTTGCACTAATTGCACACTGGCTTGCTTGCATTTGGTATGCCATTGGAAATGTAGAAAGACCTTACTTGGCTCACAAGATTGGCTGGTTGGATTCTTTAGGAGAACAATTAGGAAAACATTACAATAAGAGTGATGCAAGCTCTGGACCATCCATCAAGGACAAATATGTTACAGCACTTTATTTTACCTTCAGCAGTCTGACAAGTGTAGGGTTTGGAAATGTGTCTCCAAACACCAACTCAGAGAAAATCTTTTCCATCTGTGTCATGTTGATTGGCTGTAAGTAATTTTATCTTATTATTTTTTTTCTTTTTTTCTCCGTGTTTGAGCAAATGACTTCACAGTGTAAGATAATAAGATTATAAGCATGCAGCTGGAAGGGCAAATTCCCAGGGAAAGCAATGTTATATGTGAAAATATGTTGTGTCTCATGCAGTGTCAGGAAGTAGTCAAGTTGCTTGACTACTCAAAATCTGTTATGCAAACTGTCAGAAGTTTTGTGTTGTATATCAGTGTCTATAAGCAAATCCTGTATAGGGTAGGAAGCTGAGTTTTGAGTGGATTTAGGAAACCATAGCCCATCATTTTTCGATAATCATAATTATATTTTATTTGTTGATTTAAACCCTGAACCTATAAATGTATGCATACCTTCTTAACTCTGCCCTTTATTCTTAACTTGTACTTAACCTTAGTTCTGAGTTCTTAGTTCTACCGAAGACTGTAAAATTAGATGAACCTAACTTACAAACTAAATTCAGAACTACAAATCTCCAAAGACAAATATTACCAACTTGATTATGGTTTAATATTTAAGCCTCACCTGCTAACTGAGTTAGTACTGATACAATCAAATCAATAAAAACTTCAGGTAAATCAATTCCACATCTCTGAAAATGTTACTAGTCTGATCTGAGCTGTTTTACATACAAAGTACATTATAAGAACTGTTGCATCATCTGCAAAACCCAATTATATGACTTAAGTAAGATTTGTTTCTATTTAATCCAGCATTAATGTATGCTAGTATTTTTGGAAACGTATCTGCAATAATCCAAAGACTCTATTCGGGAACTGCACGGTATCACATGCAGATGCTGCGAGTAAAGGAGTTTATACGCTTTCATCAAATCCCCAACCCTCTGCGGCAGCGACTTGAGGAATACTTCCAGCATGCGTGGACATACACCAACGGCATTGATATGAACATGGTATGTTGTTCTGGTTTTCAGGCACAGATGCTGAGGAATAGATAAATGCATGAGATTTTAGAAAGAGATTGTAAGTCTTCATTATTTATGAGCTGTAAAAATACAAGCTTAAGAAGATGGGTATATAGCAATTATTGAAAACCAAGCCATTACAAGTTCGGCATCCAAACATTTAACTGCCTGGATCATTACAAGCTATGTCAGAAATCTGAACTCTCATCATGCATAGGAAAGCTTGAGAGCTGCAGTTCTCCCTTGCATTCACAACCACATAATTCTGCACTGAAAGTCAGCACAGTACCTACTAACCATTTAGCAATCAACAGAATCTCATTTCTAGGAAGTGGCAAGGTACAACACTCGTATTTTCTGTTCTTGATAAAAAAACTGTAAAAAAATAGAATAAAACAATATAGAAAAAGATATTATGTGGCAAGCTAAAAAGCAATAACAATCTGCTAATGAGCAAAAGTAAGCATCTATATTTCTGGCAAAGAACAAAAAAAACTATACACTTTCATAACAATTTAACTAGAAATCAACCTCTAAAATTTTGACATAAATTCAAACAGCTTCATCTATACATACGTTAGTGAATGACTGTCAGAGTGGTACACTTTTATGTAGTAAGCAGAAACAATGGTCTTGATTAAAAGCTTTTATAAAGCTGAATCACTGACAGCTTGACTTTATGGTTACCATTAAGTAAAGCAGATCTTAAAAGTAAGACAGCAAATTAAGTATATTGGGCTTCACCTCCCACTTCCATGAGTGTCTCCTCCAGAGGGATATTATGCCTAGCACAGGACAGGGATACCTGTATAAACCTTTGCTGGGGATTACCGCAGTGGATGGCAGCATCAGTAGCTTCATCCTGTGTGGCACTGAATGGCTCTAATTCCCTCTGATGGCAATGGGATTGTGGAGTACTCAGCACTTTGCAGGATCAGGCCCTTAAGCTGCAGGTGGGTGCAGCCTAAAGTATCTCATTGAATTATTTCTGAAGATATTACAAAATCATGTACGCCTTAACTAATCCATTACCACTAATGGATGTACTAAGAACACCTGTTTCATATGAAATAGTAACTAAAACTGGATGTTATCAGGTTAAACTTTGCATAATGCAGGAATTGGTGTACTGGAATTAGTCTTGGATTTGTCATTAATGTGAAATACTAACTAAATGGATTAAAGAGCCCATATTCTGCAATGTGATTGTGAGGCAGTATGGAGGCTTTGTTTTAAATAAAATGTGAAAAAAATCAAGTTTAGTATCTTGTTTTATTATACTTTATTTCTTATTCTGTTCACAATTCTGTCCCCAAGTTTTATGGCAGTTGCTTAATTTTCTTAAAAAGTGAGTTTGAATATATTACACTTAGTGCAAGGATAATATAAGAATTGTGTGATTTATATTGTACTTATGAAAGATTTATCTCTTTTCTGTCTGCTTCATACCTAAATACATGGAATAACACCACCCACTGGTAAGAGCAGGAGGTATTTATATCAAATTTACTTCCAGTATAAAGTGTGGAGAATATCCATGTTATCTGTCGGGTTTAGAGCTTGTTCAATGCTTTCTAATTTTAACTGTAACTTTTTGCATGATGAAGGGGTAGATAGCAAAGGGAAATAATCCAAGTAGAATCAGATGTGGGGCAAAATGGTTAGTAAAAATTAGACATTAAAAAATGCTAATCTAACCACATTTATTAATCACTGTTTTACCCCACAACTCAAATCATGCTTCTCTGCCCAAAAAAGGTCATGTGCATATTGGTTTGCATTAGATAGTTGCTCTGAAGGAATGTTACTCTGACAAAGTTGCCATGCTGATCATTCTGCATTTTCCTTTGCGTGAATGCTCTTAGGTCAAAACATATATGCATGTTAGCACAAGCACCAATGACGTTTTCTTGGCTATAAGCCATGTGCATATGAGATGGTCTTGCATGTGGTATTAACTTAATTTTGCATGAAATATTTGCATTTACACACCAAAGGGCTAATACTGTCCTCAGACAAATGTGTTTGGATCCTGTCAATATTTACTGGGAGTTTTTTGCAAATATCTGAAGGCAGAATTCAATCCAATGTCTTTCTTTTTCATTTCATGACTGAAAACTAAATAAAATTCAAAACCTCAGTCCTCTTTCTCCTTTGAAATATGAAATGCATGAATAATTTACATTTTTATATATATATGTATGTACGTGCAATGTATACACACACATATACTCATATATATATATAAAAATAATGTTAGAGACTAAGTTTCAAAAGATGCTTTTAATTATCGTCAGTAATATACTTAAGAATTCAGGAAAACTGGAAAAAAAACCCAAACTTTTAACCTCAGGAATAATACTGCACTAAGACTAAATAAACTTGATTTCCTAATCAAAATCCTACACTTTATATTGAAAACCAGAAGATAATACTTTATTCTTATTTGAAATGGCTAAACTTAAAATTAGCTTTAAAGATCTGCTGGTGAAATATGCTGAGAACATTGTTTATTTGTTCATTTGTTCCCCTCTGCTTCATTTCTACATCTCTTTGATTATGTTTCATTGCATAATGTATTTTGATAAAAACAGTTCCACATAATTATGCATGGACTGGATAAACAGGATTTGGGATTTATTTTCATCTGGATAAAAATCTTGAGTCTATAGAATAAGCATAATTTAAATCATATCCCTATGGTATACACTGGCAAAGTTAAATTACAACAAAATTATTTACAGTATATATTGTTTCATGAAAGATGTCACCAGTCCCAAAGATTCAAAGATACTATTTTTATTTTTTTAAACTGTCCTGTTCTGTTTTTCCTAAACTCTCTTTGCCTTCTTTTCCCCCCATCATTCCAGTGTTATCAGTCCAACACTGATAATAGCATGCCTGTGATGCTTACCCTAAAAAGATGACATATCTGGTGTTTGAGATCCTTTTTTAAGTTATGCATGTATCTTTTACAGTCCTCCCCCTGGTCCCCTTCTTTCCATGGATCTTCTGTGCATCTGAATAGCTTTATTGGTTTATTTTACCTTTAAAAATAGTTCAAAGAAGTAAATAAGTGGGACCAGCTTTGGAAAGGTTTAGCCAAATACACACATTAATATTTTGGATGTGGGACAGATTTTGGGTTTTACCCAGTACCATGAAAAAAGAGAGCAAGTCAGAGTTTTTATATATAAATTTATGGAACCTTCTCCTGCAAGCATCCAGGCAAATCGTTGATTTTACACCTGTGATAAGTTGTCCTGGCCACAGTGATCATGCAAGTACAGCAGAGCATACACCTATCTTGAGGGTTCAGAACCAGCAGTGCTACAGTATCAAATAAAGGCCAAGTTCATTGTTGCTTTGGTAAGGCTTCTTTTGTGAGAAATTGGCCACTGGTCACAGGATGACACCACTACATTTGTTATTCTTGCTTTTCCTCCTGCTGTGATTATTTCTTATGACCAAAGCAATTCTACCAATAGAACTATTGCCCGTAATATTCTTTGAACCAGAAAACTACAAAAGTAAATTAAAATTTCGAAAACAGCAAGAAGAAATTCCTTATATGATCAGAAGGTTAATCCAAATTAGAAGTGTTTGGAACAAAAACTGGTAGTAATTGGTTAAACAGAAGGAATATGTAATCATGGTGAAAAGTGGTACTGTTATTTGTGTATTTGTGTTATTTGTGTATTATATGTCTTAATGGAAATCATAAGGTATATAAGCCTATCAGAAAGTACTTCAGATATGATTAGCTGTAAAGCTGTTCTTTCATTTTCTATAACAAGACCACTTAAAAAGCATGAATGCCAAAATAATTTTCTGTCCTCCTCACCCAGCAATGTAACATATCTCAGAGATCACCTTTCAGATGTACTCAGAAACTGTAATAAGATTATAGATTAAGAATGATCTACTGCAGCTCCAGTAATTTCAACATTAAAATGTCACACAAATCTGTGACATGGCAATGACTGAAAGCAAAAGTTCCTAATTCTTGATAAAGTTGTCAGACTTCAAATCTCGTTGAAAAGTGAATTAGCTCATCATCACACACTGCCTCTCTCCTCTCTCAACTGTTGTAAGGACTTCCTTCATATCCTGCCAAAACCAAGCAAACAAACAAAACCAAAACTGACTGTGCAAAATTTTCCTATATGAAGAAGAGGAATCATCAGAAATAATCCCTATTCTATGTGGAGCCCAAGAGCTGCTGGAGCAGAATTATCCCCACCTGTGACCTTGTTCATTCTTTTCTAAATGGTGAAAGCCCTTGGAAATGTTTTGGCCTTCTGCTTATAGAAATAGTTAATTTCTGTAATTAACTATCACAGAAATAGTAAATTCTAAATTCTTTCTAGAAATAGAACTAGGTTGAATTAAAGAAATGTTTAGCCTAGATTAAGATCTTATTAAAATCTGAGAGTCAAATGTTTGTGACAGAACTAAATCCCGCACTACTCTTTCCATCAGAGGGAACAGCTACTGGGGGACAGAGATCCTAATTCAAAATCTATGCAGTGCGATTTGTGCAGCTAAAGAGTATCAGATTAGTGCTAAAATTAGGTGGAAGAAAGATAAAAATTAAAGACATAGATTATTTCACAAAATATATGACTTACTATGAATTAATTTCACTCGGTCTTACGGAACAAACTAAGACAGACAAAATGTTAATTTTTAATATAAATACCCACTAGAGTGAACTCTCCAAGGCATGGATTTTGCTCCCTGTAATTAGTTCAAAATTTATTATTCAAATCATTCAAGAACTTTATTCAGCATTTAGTGATGCCAATGTCAACATATCCTGAGATCTATATTATGCAGATGGGATCTAAATAGAGATTAAGTATGTGTAGTCTATGACACAAAGTATATTTATTCCAGCCTCTTTATACCTTCAGCTGCTCAGATTTTTTGCGGGGTCAGTTTTTGTGTGGATCAGTTTCTCAAACCATTTCACAGGGAGAGATCAAGACAGGGCAGGAATAAACAGACAATGTGGGGAAGGGCCAGAATTCCTCTTTCAGTTTATGCCAGCTTAAATAGTCAGATGAACTAGTAGTCTACCTTTATCTTTCCCTCTATATGCTGAATGCTTGCTACTCATAAATAAGTCTGACTGATTCTAGGACAAGAAAGCCTCAGTCAAAATGAGTTTCAACACACCCCAAACAGACCCATGACACACAAGATCTCTCTTGTGCTGTCTTTAACAGCTGCCTGGCATTTAATGCTTGATCCCACCTATATTTCAACAGAGAAAATGTATGCCAAGATTTTATGCAGAATTAAAGGAATATCTTTGACTGCCAGACTGCAGGGACTGTAATATCTCAACATACTAGGAAAGGCTGAGAGAGGTGGAACTGTTCAGCCTGGAGAAGTGAAGTTTCACAGGGGATCTCATCAATGTGAACAAAAACCTGAAGGGAGGGTGTAAAGAACAAGGAACCACTCTTTTCAGTGGTGCCCAGTGACAGGACCAGAAGCAATGGGCACAAACTGAAACAGGAGGTTCCGTCCAAACATCAGGAAGCACTGTTTTAGGAGGATGACTGAGCACTGGCATGAGTTGCCCATAGAGGTTGTGGAGTCTTCATCCTTGGAGATATTCAAAAGCCATCTGGGTATCATCCTGGGCTACCAGCTTTAGGTAGCCCTGCTTGAGCAGGGAGGTTGCACAAGATGACCTCCAGAGATTTGTTCCAATCTCAACCATTCTGTGATTCTGTTGGTATAGAATGTGATGATATTTCCATGTTTAATGACAATTATTGTAGCTAATATCCTGATTTGCTTCAGCTTGGATGCTTTCTATATATTTTCTGTGGCACAGATGTCAATACCTGTTCCAGAACTGAGGAGAGAAAATCTAAAAATTGTCATGAATCTTATCATTTATCCAGACAAAACAAAGTTATCATTGCCCCAGATATTGCTAGTTGTTTGAGGTTAGGGCACCTAGATGTCTTCAGTTCTGTTGTCACAAAGGTGTCTGATACATGTATGAGTGATACCTTGTTGTAATCTTGAAAAAGAGAAGTTAATGAAGCTGGGCTTCCTCTCCATTTATAAAAGACCACATTCTTCAAGGCAATATGATTCATGTCCCTACTATCTTCACTTATTCCTTCAACAGCTTCAATCACATATTCCACATAAAATGTTTTACTTCTCGCTCAGTGATGCTTGCCTCCTCTCTAAGCATGCCAATTAGATAAACCAATGTTATTTGACGTGGAATAAGTTTTATTCCAGTCAGGAAGAGACAACTGAACTTGGACTTGATAACTATCAAGGAGAGACTACTGGAGCCTATGGTCACAGCATCATAACTGGTTTTCCTTTTTTTTTTTTGGGGGGGGGGGGGGGGGGTTTTTTCTTTTTTTTTTGTGGGGGGGGTGGCGGGAGGCTGATTTTCTATCTTTTCTTTTTTAGATCTGTGTCTCTCAAATTATGCATGAGTTCTAATTCTAACTATGATTCTAACCATGAGAATCCAAGATTTTTCTCACCAGGGCCCAGTGGAATCACTATTGAGGAGATGTTGAGTGTAACAATAGCAATATGTCAGGAAAGAATGAAGCAATTGAAACCCAAACCTTTATTTAAATGATTTATTAATTTTGGATTTGTCATTGAGAATAGTGCTATTTAAAGAGTAATTCTAGCTTTATCATTTTCAAAATTTTATTTTGAAAATTATTTTATTTTTGCGTCACCTAGTCCTACATTCATATGATTTCAAGATTATGCTGGCTTTTAGTTGTTTAGAAAAGTGTATTTTGAATTTTTGTTGTTACATTGGAGTGTGGCTTAAATGTGTTTAAAGACATCAAAAGCTCACAACGAAAGAAGTGAAATGCAGTATTTAGAGTTTTATTTTTTTTAAGGTAATCTCATGATTTTGAAGACTGAATGGATGATTTTCTAATATTTAGAGTTGTCAGTATGTGTACACATAATGTATTGATGTTGATCACTACATTATAAGAACATGATTTTCAACGCAATTGTTCCTGCTCTACACAGACAACCAAAGATATTTCTGAGAATCAGATACTTCCTTATTAACACAGGCTAAAAATTGATGAATGAGAAATATTTTCTCAAAGTCATGAAAATCTGAATATTAGAAATGTACATGGAGGCTTGGGTTGGCAAGATGTTGTCCATACTGCACAACATAAAACTTAGTTTGGAAACATCAAATCCTGTATAGTGTCAACTACTGGACTTGGATTAAATACCTCACTATATACAATGTGCTCGATATGGTAAGCCCCTTTTAGCAATGTAGTATATAGCAATGTTTTAACAAATTTATCTTCAAATGAGCTTCTTTCTTGTATTTCTAAACTTGTGTTAGTGGAGTAATCTCCAAAATTCCATTGGAAATCAATGTTATTTGGGCACCTGTCTTCCTTCTAGACATTTGACAATTGGATTAATGAGTAAATGTTCTTCCTCTCTGATGTATAACAACTATTTTAGAGTGTAAGCTCCATGGGGCAGGGACTTTTTAATTGCAGATACTTTAACAGAGGCTAGTATCTTTCAGATGTTATTGGCATATAAGTAACTATTAACTATTGTGCAATGATTTTAGAACAGTTTCATATTAAGTATAAATTAATTTCCAAAATAATTGTTTCTTTAAAGAAATCCCCAAAGTATCTTCAGAAATATAAGCCAACACACATGGTCTGCATGATTTTTGCTTAATGGTAAAGTACAATCCCTTGATAAATGAGATAAACAGAAACTGATGTGAAAAATGAATTTATGCTAGGACTGTGCTCTTGACTTTCTAACAGTTCAAATATCTTTTCATCTGAGTACCTCTGAATTGAAAACATATTTCCTATATTGCATCTTATAAAAAATGGAGCTATTCTAAATTATATTCAGATGGGCGTATAGCAAAATAATTAATTCAAAATAGGTCTTTTTTATTCACATGACTAGAGAACAATTTCAAAATAAACACCTGCAATTTTTCTCCACCTGTATTATTAACAGGATGTATTTGGTTATCAGTTTCCCAGTATCATTCAGTAAATAAGTTGCTACAACCCACAATATTTTTATTTCAATATAATTACATTAAAATAAAAAGAGTAGTTGCATACTAAGCTATTTCTAGTGGTGTGATAGATACTGAAAACAGAGTGGCACCACAGAAGCTTTTCATTTATCATGTTTTCTTTTGCTTATTGTGGTTGAACACTGGCTTTTTCTGAGGATGTATACATTTTGTGTGGTAGTGCCCTGTAGCTCATAAAATTTATATATATGTGTGTGTTAAAACATTCTGTTTGTTATTTCACAGTATTGATTTCCATTAGCAATCATAGAAACATTTCAACTCAGTTAAAGGTACTAATATTTCATTTGTAAATCATAGCTTGGCTTGTGTGGACAGAAGCCTCATATCAGAAATTTGTTCATCTTCTCCGTTAGCAAGGGATATGAGTTGTCGTTATCTTTATGCAATAAGAGTGAGTGCACAGACCTTTATTGTGCTGAAGTAAGAATTAATATAGCTACAAGTGAATGCATTTTGTATTTTTTTTTTTCTGTGCAGGAATATTTATGTGTTTATACAAAAACAGTGCAGAGGATAAACAGGAATGAACTAATAGACTGCTCTAATAACAAAAAGACACATCCTGTTCACATATTCATAAGACTGGTAACATCAGTTCATGTTTTGTCCTTAGAAACATGCAACTGATGTAGCCAGTCCCAGGGAAAGCATATGACCCATTAACATCATTGACAGCAGATAACAGGATTTAATGGAAAGAAAGAGTGGCACACAATAATGTGTCAGGCCCATTCCGTAACACAGTGGGCAGAGTCACAAGGTGGGCAGTACTCCCATAGAAGTCAGTAGGAGAAATGTTTATTGATTCTAAAAGAAGCAGAGGAAAGATGATCCTAGACAATTTAGAAAAGCTCCCACATAATGACCATGTTGTAAGTAGCTCACTTTTTTTCTTCTAAACCAAATTAACATGTTACCATGGTGCCCAAGAGTAATCACGTGGTTCTACTTCAGGCATACTCCCATTGTTCTGAGTAAGAGATGAGCAAGGACCATAGCAACTAGCCCTGTGGTTTGCTGAACTAATCATCTGCCTATATAAATCTGCATAACATCATTGTTCCAGTGGCACATGTTGCTTTTTCTGATAAAAATCTAAGTCCTACACTTGCAAGCAGAATATATTTAACATGAAAATCCCATTAAAATGCCCTCTCTCTGAAAAATACCTGGTCTTGTTCAAATAGCTCTAATTTTACAAATGTCGTGGTTATTTCAGCAAAAACCTCTCTTATATTAAATATAGTACTTTGATAAAAAGGAAATAGACATATTAGTCCAAATACGTGAAATTCAGTCAAGACTCTCCCTTTAGCTGTCTTGTTATTTTACTGCAGTATATTCATTCATGTACCTTGATACCATTTCTTGCAGTGAAAGAAATCTTAATAATGAATTTTGTAACCACTACATACATTAGTATGTACATTAGTATTCATATTGTATAAGCTTTGCAATATAGATTATGCTATGTATTTGTTGAATCATAATACTCTGACAGCTCTTAGGGTCCCCTCTATTTGTATGTCACATCTTTCCTTCTGTCCAGGAAGAAAACATAAACATTGTATCAAGCAGGTTTCATAGCATTCACATGAAATCCTTATGCTTGTCTTTCCAGGTCCTGAAGGGGTTTCCAGAATGCTTACAAGCTGACATTTGTCTGCACCTCAACCAAAATTTGCTTCAGAATTGCAAAGCTTTCCGGGGAGCCAGTAAAGGCTGTCTTCGAGCTTTGGCTATGAAATTTAAGACAACACATGCACCTCCTGGAGACACTTTAGTGCACTGTGGAGATGTTCTCACTGCTCTTTACTTTGTGTCAAGAGGCTCCATTGAAATCCTTAAGAGTGACATTGTTGTAGCCATTCTTGGTAAGTAGATTACTACAGGGCATGTTAACAGAGGATTGAAAAGAAATATCCATTGTTGCTCCTGGAGAAGGAAATTTTTAAACGTTTTACTCACTGTTATTTAAAATCAAGCACAGAAATAATTTAAGGAGCAAAGTCTACATTACTGCAATAATTTATGTGCACCAAGGAGCCCACGTCCTTGGATATCTAAAACATAAGAGCAGGAGTGAGTCAGAATTATCCCTAAGTAAGTGGTAAGCTGCAAGTTGAGGCAAGCAGATATCAAATTACTCCAGTTTTGATTATGCTGCAGGAACCAAAGTCAAGGTCACCCTTTTCTCAAACAGCATATGAGGGTACCGAGACACACAGACACCCTATATGCTAGCTGGAGAAAAACATGTATCTACTGTAGGTATTCAAAATGTCTTCTAGAGGTTTTCGGAAATGTCTGCTTCTGCCCACTGAGCATATAGAAAAGGAAGAGAATAACAATCTGATCTAGATCGATACTTAAGTGTAATAACACCAGTGTTTCCCCTATATTTCTTTTCAATATGTTTTTGTTTGTATAGCATGGGGAGTTATCCGTTTTCTTTCCCAATGAAGATGGCTCAGAGTAATGTTCAATCCAGCTGGGAGTTCAACTGCAGCTGGTGATGGCTCTTACATGGAACAAATAAGACTTCATTAGCTACGCGATTTTAAAAGTAAAATAACTAAAACCCTACCTAAACAAGACTACTGATTTGTTTCTCCCATTTAATACCAGGTAATAAGACCGCAAAGAATAATTGAGTAGATGAGTAAGGATTTTGCTGTACGGAAACCTACACCAGCTGTAACATCATTCATATGTTCTCCTTTCTGTTTATCATCCACTGTAGGAACTTAGAGCCAGAAAAGTAGCTGAAGCAAAATGTGGACTGGTAACAGTATGTTGCTATTAATCCACTTGTGAGTGATTATTCTGCTAGTACTTTTCAAGGTGGATACGTGAGCAGAAGTACAAAGGTGTGCCTACAGCAATCCTTCCCTATGTTTAGATGGTGTTATCAAGATAATTTGTCACCTCATGCTGTTGTACCTCATCAGCTGGGCCAGCTTTAGGCACAAGCAAAGTAGGGAGCATGCAAGTATAACACTGTGAGGTTTTTACTTACCTGTGTGAGTGTCTTCCCCTGATTATGAAGTGCGGTTCATCGAGGATTTCATCTCTTACATTAAAAACATGTAAATTTCTATAGTGCTCACAATCAAGAAAAACTGACACATTTATGAACTCATTAATTTCTTCCCAGACCAAAGGTGCAGACTGGTCAAGTTTTGCATGTTATGTACATCAGGTCCCTGTGGTCTCACACTGCAGCAGAAACCCAAGTATTTGCAGTATTAAATATGGCAAGTATTTGCCACTGCATCTCTTCCAGCCTACAGCTCCTCACACCAGGGGCTGCAGGTTGGAGCCCTGCTCTCCCAGGGAATGGCGGTCCGGACAGAGACAGTTGTTCACAACTGCAGCTGAAAGGAACTGCTCTGTGGGCCCACAGCTGTTGCATGATCCATGAGGCAGGAGCCTGCCTGATAGCTGGCTCCAGTCAATGAGTCCGTGGTGTCTTGAAGAATCTGCTAAAAAGAATAGAACATGATACAAATGAAAATTACTTTGCGATGAAATCACACAGAAACCTAACAAAGATTATCAATACTTAGCCAAATATTTTTAGTTAATTCCTCTTTCTGAAAAACCTACACACAGAAATGGACATAAAAAACACTCAATGCTTTGTCCTCTGGGGTTGAAAAGACTTTGATCCAACAGAAGTAGCATGGATGAACTTTCCACCCTTAACAAGTATTGCAACTTCATCACAGAAATCAGAGTTCTGAGAAATGCTGGTTTTGTCCCCCATTTTTCCTCAACTTGTGAGCACTGTCCAATGCTGCTGAGTAAGGTCTGATCAGTAGTGACCTGACAACAGTAATTCTGTGCCAAATCCTTAGAAAATACAATGGCTGTGGCCCTTGCAGAATCTACCACCTCTTTCAGCTTTGCAGAAAAGACATAAAAATACTGCGATTGTGTCAATAGTCATATTGCAGAGAAGGTAGTATACGCCTTGAATAGGGACCTCTGCATTCATAAACATTAAGGCCAGAAGGACTCTTAGATTGTATTGGCTAACCCCTGTTATATCACTGACTCCTGTACATTTCATACCTTTAACTATCTGTTGTGTCTAATGAACTGTGTTTGATGAAAGAAAAGCAAGGAGTTTTGGTCTGAAGACATAGCGAGATGAAAAAGGCATCACTTTTCTTGGCAGTTTATTTCCATAGTTAATAATTTTTATTGTTAAGTGTGTGCTTTATTTCCAGTATAAAATTATCTTGCTTCAATTTCTTTCCATTGCTTCATGCTAGGCATTCTTTATTATATTCTAGAGGCATTTAGTACCAAGTAATTTTTCTTCTCTTTAACAGTATATGCAATATAATCAGGTTACCTCTTAATCTTCCTGTTGGTAAGCTAGACAGACTGTGCTCTTTAAGATCCTCACTGTAGATCAGCCCTTTTTGCATCTTTGTTCTGCTTGCTCACCCAGTTTTCAGCTTCCTTTTTAGAAAATGGAGAAACCAGAACTACTTGGAGTAACCTAAGCCACAAATGTTTAATAGAGAGGCAAAATCACCCCTGTATTCTTTTTTACCAGTCTACTGTTTCTCACTTGCTGTGACCACTATTCCTTTCCACAAGTGTTTTCCCAGTTCTCCCCCAAACCCCATTTTGCAGGTAAGCCCTCCAACCCTTAGTTTAGAGTATATTTTGCACAGGTCTATGGCTACAGCTGCTCTGCATTTATGAAGGTTAGGTACAGATTTGGGGAAAACAAGCAATTAAATAGAGATGTCAATTTTAGCGAACAGGTACTGCGATGTGTCAACGCTGATGGAAAGAATTGTAATAGTATCAAAATAGAAGCAGCTATGTTTAAAGAGCTTCTTCAAAACAACTTTTTCATCTTGGAAGTTTTGCATTCCCTCTGAAAACTTAAGTCATTTTCTACTAAAATACTAAAATGTATTTCAAGTATGGTCTGTTTCTTCATGTAATTCTTAACAAGATGAGATTCCAGGCCAGACAGGTCCTGGACTCTACTGAACAACAGAAATTACATCTTTGTCATCATAAGAATATGATTTAAACCAGCAAATGATGATTTTATGAGAAAGGAAAAAGGAACCTGCTCTAGTCATGCTGTTTTGATGGAACTGAAGAAAAACTGTGATGAAACTAGATTTTCCTTTCACTTAGTCCAGTTGCATGTCTATGTAATGTAATTGATTTTAATAATTTCACTTTTAATATTTAATAATAATACTTTTGATTTACAACAACATATGTGCAATGGTAATCTGATTGTATCACTTCATGTAAAATCGAGTATTCTAAACCATTATCATAACGAAATACATCATTCAGTTTAATGGCTTATGTTTAAAATAATAATCTCCATCTAATTCTCTTTCTGCAGGGAAAAATGATATTTTTGGAGAGATGGTACATCTTTATGCAAAACCAGGAAAGTCAAATGCAGATGTGAGAGCTTTAACTTACTGTGACTTGCATAAGATCCAGAGAGAAGATCTACTAGAAGTTTTGGACATGTACCCTGAATTTTCTGATCTATTCCTCACCAATCTAGAACTGACTTTTAATCTGAGAGATGAAACTGCAAAGGTACATAAAATAAGTGCTTTTTTTTTTCTTAATATTGGGCCAAATCTGTCCCCCAGTAACAAAACTTGAAAATAGCAATTGAAAAACCAAGGTTAGCAAAATTAAAAGCTAAAAGCCTGAGGCCAAATCCTATTTTAAAAAAATATATTCACCTGATTGCTCCTACTGAAGTCAGTTAAACTCAGCAGAAGTCAATGAAATGGTACAGATGATGTTAATCTAACAGGATTTGGTTCTATATTTAAAGAGTATTAAAGTTTCAGCCAGGAGGATTTTGGATGTTTTGCTAAAGCCATGGAAAATATGTTTTTTTCCAGATTACTATAGCCTGGGTCACCACAAGGGGAACTTTTGACACTAAATATAATTGTATAGCCATAAAATAAAGATAAATCAGATTATCTGGATTCATTCTGTGTCTAACAATAGAAAATATTTAATTGCCTTTCAAACATGAATGGTTAATTCTCTTATCTTGGCGTGCACCCTACCTCCTAGGAGATTAAAAGTATACAAGGGACTTTTAAAATTTCACTCAGTCTTTAGACTTGCAGGGATTCTTGGTCTCTTTTTCCCATGTGACTCTCCTAACTGTCCCCTTTTGCCCAGATTACATCTTCAAGAAAGCAGAAAAATTACCAGTGTTTCCTTATCTCAGACTGCTGGGGCCAGTCTGAATTGGGAAAGAAAGGGGAGCTTTGGCCAGAAGGGGAGAAGGGAAAGGCTGTTGCTGGGCTCGTGCTACTGGAGCTAAAGCTTTTGCTAGAAAGTTGTAGGGTACACCAGCACTGGCCATGAAACATGGACTACACTGCTCATAGAATGACTAGTTTATGTTTCATTATTTCTGAGATACTGCCATTTTGTGGTTTCTGACTATATTTTAAGGAAAAACAGAGATTCAGTGAGAAGCATAATTTGGCCTCAGAGGCCTCTTGAGAAACAAGGAGACAAAGAACACTAAGTTTTGGGCTGTAAATGACAGGGACATCTTTGCTAATTACATGTAGATCTTTAGTTTAAAAAAAATAAAACAAATATAACTTCTGACAACAAATGTCACTTCTTTTTATGCAGAGCCTTTTTTTTTAATCAAAGATTCTGAAAATAAAAGACCAATTCTATTCTTTGTTTTAAAAGTCATCCTTTCATGTTTATTGAAAAGGTCATCATTATTAATTACATGTGAAATACAATAAAATGAATTTATAGTCTAGTGATAAATTTAAGTTAAAACTGAAAGTCCACATATTTGAAAAATTCCTTGAGGATAAATTCACATTAATTATTTTAGTCTGAGCAATTATTTCCTGCAATTACATTGTCATCAATGTTTTATCATTATTTTTTCCTTAGATCTGAGAAAATTGAAACAAAATTCCATCTTCTGTGTTGTGGTGTAGAATACACAAAGAAAGTCCTCACTGCTCATGTTTCTTAGAAAATTTTTGGTTGTTAGTTCTTACTGCTGTACCAGCCACTAAGAAAAAATTCCTAGACTTCACAGGGACAGGGAAGGGAGGACAGGCTTGCCCGTGCCTCTGAGCTTGCAAAATCACAGTTTTCTCTAGCCATTCCATTTGCCTTCCGCTGTCTATTGCAATCCAGAAAATCATCCCCCAAAAGAAGTGATGAGCACATTCCGATCTTCAAAACATCACTCAGATCCAGACTTGTTACCTGAATAATAGGTGCTTCTGCCTCAACTTCTGCTCCTGTCCTCCTGTTTATGTAAAAGTACCTTTTTCTTCCTGCAGTTATTCTACCAGTGGGCCACCACTGAAGCACCTTACCCACCAGGTTTACAATGAAGGGAATAGAGAAAGATGTAAACACTTCCCACTTCTTTCCCTCTGCCCTTCTCCCACATGCAAATCTGCTTACTTGAGTGGTACGGGAAAACTCACTAGCACAGGGAAGGGAAGTAGGCTGAAGCCAGTGCCATGGGTATGTACACAAAGAACATAACTGGTGTTATATTTGCTTATTTGTAAATCTCTCAGTTTTAAATAAGTAGAAGAGTTAAATGCATCTTGTATTTATTGTGGCAAAAAAAGCACATCCATCTTCTATAACATAGATAGAAAAAGACCACATTGTTTTCTGCTATGGAAATAAGTATCTGAATGGACTGAATCCCATAGAGAGGAAGGGAAGGTCTAGAAAGATAAAATAACGTGGGGTAAAGTGTCTGGTGTTTGTCAGCCTTACATTTATTGTTGTAAAATGTAACCTTTATAATCTTTACCATGTAGTTAAATATAAATTTAATTACAATCATTTACCATATTACTCTTGCAATAGTATACTTTTTCTGTTTGAGGTTATTTAATTTTTTCATTAATTTCTCTAAGATTAATTGAACCACATCTGTGCAAGTTCAGGAAGCTGATAACACATGAACACATGTCTTTCCATGTAAACTTATCATCAGGATACTTTTGTTTCATGATCAGGTGGCGACATTGTTGGTTTTGCTCAATCTGCATGAACTTTTTAACATTAGCATTGAGCAATACCATTAGTTGAGGATGAAGAGGTTGATGCAGACTGACTTGTGTAATATTGCCTTTCTTAAAGCTTGAACATGATTAACAGTCAATCACCTATTGAAAACCTGCTCTCTTTAGATGGGACTAATCTGTCATTATGTTTCATATTTCATTAATCAAGTCTGACCTCATAATAAGATCACAAACTACTAATGATACGGATGGAGATAACTACAAACTACGAAGACGGAAATTGTCCTTTCAAAGTGAAATAGAGAAAGGTAATTAACTTCATTTCTTACATTAGACAGCACTGCTTCATTATTCATTAGTATTTCACTTGGTAATGCTGGGTACATTAGGGTCCCATGTTGGCTGTTACTGTACCAGCTCTTGAGAATCCAGCTGAGCAGCAAAAACAGTCTGTGCGTTATCCCCTATATGTTTCTGTAATACTAGAGGATATCAGTTTCACCCTTCCAGGACTTCGCACCTGTCAGTGCAGAACTGTTCAAACACTAAGTTACCTTATTGCCCTTGAGATATACATATATATATATGTATATTATCTCTTAAACAATATCTATTTTCTGAGACACCATGTTTTAAACTGTTTGGAGAAGCTATTGGATTATTTATTAGCAGCGTTGATTTTATTTCCTCAGCAAAGTGCTTTGTTGAACTTGATGCTAGATAGTGTTTCTGCCTGGAATTAAAATATTTTGTTTTCAGGACACAGTAGATTCACCAAAGTCAGATTTTGATTCATATGGTAATGTGTAAACGGTTGTCCTGGCAAGAGTTCAGGTAATATTTTCTGTCCTTATGTTCACCTTAGAGGCTTTCGGGAGTAATCCTAATGACGGAAAATTCAGTGAAATATTAAGCTATGTCACCAGTATTCAGTACTGCTAAATACCAGGAAGTGTAGACAGTAGCTGTGGTCAGACAGCAACAGTCATGAAGACAGTTAAACTGATACTCGCTGGATTTTCATTTTTATGTAGG